TTTTGGTCTGTGTTCCATGGGCACTTGAAAGGAAGGTGTATTCTTCTGTTATTTGGTGGAGTGTTCTATAAATGTCAATTAGATCTTGTTGGTTGATGATATTGAGTTCTTCTCTATCTTTGCTGATTTTCAGTCTTTGTGTTCTACCAGTTTGTTGATAGAGGAGGTTGAAATCTCCAGGTATAATTGTTGGTTTGTCTGTTTCTCCTTTCAGTTCTATCAGTTTTGTTGCACATAGTTTGTAGCTTTTTTTTGTTTTTTTAAGATTTTATTTATTTAACAGAGAGAGACACAGCAAGAGAAGGAACATAAGCAGGGCGAATGGGAAAGAGAGAAGCAGGCTTCCCACAGAGCAGGGAGCCCGATGCAGGGCTTGATTCCAGGACCCAGGGATCATGACCCAAGCCAAAGGCAGACACCTAATGGCTAAGCCACCCAGGTGCCCCAGTTTGTAGCTTTTTTGTTTGTTACATACACATTTTGGATTACTATGTCTTCTTGGTAGATTGACCGTTTTATCACTGTATAATGTCCCTCATATTATCATTATGCAACATCCCATAATTTTGCTTACTGTGTTCTTGCTTCCTTCCTTGATGTTTCAGGGTTCCTTCTTTCATTGTTTTCTGTGTAGAGAACTTCCTTTCACTACTTTTTGGGGGAAGCTATTCTTTCAGGGTAGGTCTTCTTTTGGCGACAAATTCTTAGTTTTTCTTCATCTAAGAATGCTTGATTTCCCCTTTATTTCTAAGTATATTTTTGCTAGACATAGGATTCTGGGTTGACAATTCTTTTCTTTCAGTACCTGAAAGATACTGTGCCATTTCTTTCTATCATCCCTAGTTTCTGTTGTCATTCTGATTGTTTAAGTAGGGTGTCATTTTCCTCTTGCCGTTCTTAAGATTTTTTCCTTTTTTTAGAGGGAGGAGGGGCAGAGGGGGAGAGAGAATTTTTTTTTTTTTAAGATTTTTTATTTATTTATTTGACACAGAGAGCATAAGCAGGGGGAGCGGCAGAGGGAGAGGGAGAAGCAGAGAGTGCTCAGCAGGGAGCCTGATGTGGGGCTCAATCCCAGGACCCTGGGATCATGACCTGTGCTGAAGGCAGACACTTAACCAACTGAGCCACCCAGGCGCCCCGGAGAGAGAGAATCTTAAGCGGGGCTTAATGCGGGGCTCTATCTCACAACCCTGAGATGACCTGAGCCAAAATAAAAAATCAGATGCTTAACTGACTGAGCTACCTAGGCACCCCAAGAATTTTTTTTTCTTTAGTTTTCAGAAGTTCATTTGTGATGTGTCGTTGCATGATTTATTTGGGTTTATTTTGTTTAGTATTTGCTCAGCTTCTTGAATCTATGTGTTTATGTTTTGCCACATTGGAAAAGTTTTGGGAAGCTTTTGGCGGTGATTTCTTCAAGTACCTTTTCAGTCCTGTCCTCCTTTCTCCTCTCCTTCTGGGACCCTGAGGCCACAAATACTAGATTTTTTGTTATAGTCACACAGGTCTTGAGGTTCTGTTCAATCTGTTTCAGTTCGTTTTCTTCCTGTTCAGATTGGGTATTTTCCATTGTTGTGTCTTCCAGCGATTTTTTCCCCTCTCTTGCCTCTGTTCTGCTCTTTTTTTTTTTTAAGATTTTATTTATTTCAGAGAGAAAGGGAGAGAATGAGTTGGGGGGTGGGGAGGTAGGGGGTAGGGGCAGAGGGAGAGGGAGAAGCAGGCTCCCTGCTTAGCAGGGAGCCCGATGCAGGGCTCGATCCCAGGACTGTGGGACCGTGACCCGAGCAGAAGGCATACGCTTAACCGACTGAACCACCCAGGTGCCTCTGTTCTGCTCTTGAGTGGGCCATCCATTGAGCTTTTTATTTTGGTTATATTTTTCTTTTCTCCTTTCCTTTCCTCTTCCCAGTTGTATTTTTCAATTATATGGTTTCCATTTGGTTCTTCCTTACATCTTCTATTTCCGGCTAAGACTTTATTTCTTTGCTGTGGCTTTCTATATTTTCATCTGTTTCAAGCATACTTATAATTACTTATTGAAGGATTTTTGCCATGGCTGCTTTAAAATCTTTGTCAGATAAACAAAAATACAAAGAAAACAAAACAAATCTTTGTCAGATAATAATAATGTCTCTGTTATCTTTGTGTTGTCATCTGTTGCCTGTCTTTTTCCTTTCACTTTGAGATCTACCTGGTTTGGGGTATGATGAGAGATTTTTCAATCAAAACCTGGTTATTTGCATATTATGTTGAGACTGTGGATCTTATTTAAACTTTCTAATTTAGCTGGTTTTTTCTGACTCTTCCAGCAGGAAAGGGAAGGATGCTGCCTTGTTACTGCTAGGTGGAGATAGAAGTCTAGGTTTCCTACTTGGCCCCTGTTGGCACCTCAGGGTGGGGCACTTCTTTTTACAGCTGGGTGGGTGTGGGGGTTCTGGCGTCTCCTCTGACCCCATAGGATAGGAGGGTGCTGGTTACCAGCTGTCAGGGATGAAAGTCCTAGTTCCCTACCTGGCCTTCTCTTACTCCACCCTGGCAGCATGTTGGGTGCCTTATTAGAGTCTGCAAGGGTGGAAGTCTAAGCTCCCCACTTGGTGTTTGCTGGTGTGGATGGGAGTGAGGTCCCAGTTTTGTTTTGTTTTTGTTTTTATGGTGTATGGCTGGAGTAGAGTGTTTATTGTCTAAAAATTTTTTATTTTATTTTATTTTTTTTAAAGATTTTATTTATTCATTTGAGACACAGAGATACAGAGAGAGAGAGAGCATGAGCAGGGAGAGAGGCAGAGGGAGAGGGAGAAGCAGGCTCGCCGCTGAGCCAGGAGCCTGACGCGGGGCTCGATCCCAGGACCCTGGGATCATGACCCGAACCGAAGGCAGACGCTTAACCATCTGAGCCACCCAGGCGCCCCTATTGTCTAAAAATTTTTTATCTTTCTAAGCTGTCCCTTTCTTGGTCCTTTGTCTAGAGAACACAGGCTTTTGTTGGGCCTTCTTTCTGGTCTATGCTTGTTGGTGTTCCTGGATTGCCAGTTTCCTCAGCTCCAGGTCTGAGATATATCAGAAAGAAAATCCAAGGAACTCACCACATGTCATTCCTCAAGTTCAAAGTCCCCTAGCCAGTCTCTCTTTTTCTCCAAGCTTCCGGAGTCTTCTCATGTTTGCTTTAAAAATAACGTCTAGGGTTTTTTGCAGCTCTTTCTGCCCACAGGTCCTGTCCCCATGCTTTAATAAAACTCCCTTTTTTGCAGGGGTGCCTGGGTGGCTCAGTCATTAAGCGTCTGCCTTCAGCTCAGGTCATGATCCCAGGGTCCTGGGATCGAGCCCCGCACCGGGCTCCCTGCTCCGCGGGAAGCCTGCTTCTCCCTCTCCCACTCCCCGTGCTTGTGTTCCCTCTCTCGCTGTGTCTCTCTCTGTCAAATAAATAAATAAAAATCTTAAAAAAAAAACCAAAACTCCCTTTTTGCACCAAAAATAAATAAATAAATAAACAAACACCTGGGGTTTTTTGTTGCACGTTAGCAGGAAGAAGTTATATTTCTAATTCAGGCTTTTCCTGAACTCCAGACTAGTTCATCCAACATTTCCATTTGGATGCTAATAGGCACCTCAGTGTCACCATGTGCAAAAATGAACTCCTGGTCTTCCCCAATAACTGCTCCACGTACAGCCTTCTGCATCTCAGTTGGTGGCAACACCCTCCTTCTAGTTGTTCAGCTCTAAAGCACAGGAGTCATCCTAGATTCCTCTCTCTCTCTCACTGTACATATCCCATCTGTTGAACAGCTAAGCTTGCTTTCAACATATCCCAAGTCTGTCCCTTCTTGTCCCTCCATTTGCATCCACATTGCTCCAGGTCACCTTCACCACGTAACAGAAGATTCTGATAATAACATGTCAATTCCATACCAATCCTCTTTGGCCCCCCATGTCACTGTGAGTCAGCTCCAGTGTCCTCTGGTCATGTGGGTCTCCTTGCTATTCCTCAGACATACCAGGTTTACATGTGCCCAGGTCATTTGGGGAAGTTATATTTTAAAAAGCCATTATTACTTGATTGACATTGTCTTAAATTTATTATTTTTAGAAAAATTGATGTCTTTCCAATGAAATCTTTACTAACCAGCATGATGACTCTTTTTATTCATCTCTTTTTTTATCTCCCCTGGAGGTGCTTTAGAGCTTTATTTATGCAAATCCAATTACTGCTTGATGCACATATATTTTATTGCTATTCAGAATAGGATTCTTTCCCATAATTTTCAAATTTTTGTTGGTAGTATGTAAGAAAATTGTTGGACTTATATATTTATTTCATGTTTCTCCTTGGGACTGTTAAAGCTTAACTCTCCAGCTTTAATTATTCTTTGGTTGATGCCTCTGTGTGTTATGATTCCTCTTCGCTCTGTACTCGATGTGGATCTTGCATGGGGTTCTTTCTCTCAGATCTTTTCTGGGATTACCCCTGCCTGCCTTACTCAAGCTCTTGTCTCTTAGAACCTGGGTCCCTGAGACTGGTATGGGGGCTTCTCCTTGGCTCTCCCCTGGCTCTGTAGAGGACCTCTATCCTGGCACTTAGAGCTCTGAACAGCCATTTCCTGCTCACTTTTCCTTAACCGAGCTTCATGATCAGTGAAAGCTTGGAATGGATTTGGTGCTCAGTGGATATTTGTTGAAGGAATGAGTGAATGACCTTCCAACTAGATTTACTGGGAATGCTCTTGTATTTGAGAGAGTTCCTCCACTTATTTTCCAACTCCTCTGTTGACTTTTTTCTTGTCAGTGTGTGCATACTTTGTAATATTTTCATTTAACCTTATTTCCTAGTGATTTCCACCAATATTCTATGTTCCAAATAACTACCAGTTTGACAGTGAAGTCTTTCATTGGTCTAATGCCTAATGACCACTCCCACACTCACCTTGTAATCTTCTGTAACCTGCTGAGTCTGTTGACTTGGATGTTGCTGCTACTGACTTGATGACTTTTTCCCTCCCTCTCAGATTCAGGCTTCTTCAGGAGAAACCAAGTACCATGGGGCCTTGGACTGTGCAAAGAAGGTATACCAGGAATCTGGGATCCGAGGCATCTACAAAGGGACAGTGCTCACCCTCATGAGAGGTAACCTTTTAGGTTCTCCACCTGAGGTCACCTTGTGGGGGGGCTCATCTGAGGTGGATTTGCCACTGAGGGTCTTACCTGGATCCCCAGATTAGCCTTGGCACTATACAAGCTACACTTCTGACAAGGCTGGCATGGTATGTCCTGTTTTTTTAGGCAGTCTCACCCCTGGCCAGCATGGACACCAATGAGGATGGGAGGATCTCTATCCTTCTGGCAGGCTGGCCCTCAAGGATGCAAGTCACTATTGTGGCAGTTACAGGGGAGTGGCAAGTAGATAAAATCGTGGCTGGAGGGATGAGTGGGGGGGAAGAGTGACTAAGGACAGTGGGGCCCTCCCTGGTTTCGAGAGGCACGTCCTGCTGGGGTGGCAGTAGGAGAGGCAGACATAGCCTCAGCCCTGTCCTGACATGGCAGCTTGGAGGAAGGCCAGAGGCTAGCTGTAGTTGTAACTTGGAGTGGGTGTGTCCATGGGGACCACTCAGAGGGGACTTTGAAGGTGAAATGATGTCATGTGTGTTTGTGCTCACTCTTACCAGTGCTTGCCCCAAAGCAGCATCTAATTACTGCAAAGTGATTACTGCACATAGGAGGTGCTGCTGAGGAACTTCCCAGGAAACCTGGAAAGGGCCAGTCCAAGTGTGGCTCTTCTAAGTTCTAGAAAGCCATGAGGATTTTGTATCATTTAATTCGCTTCTTTCTTGCCCCTAACAGATGTTCCAGCCAGCGGGATGTATTTCATGACATATGAGTGGCTGAAAAATATCCTCACACCAGAGGGAAAGAGGTAAGGAGACTAGAAGAACTCAGAGGACACTGCTCGGTCATGGGTTGGTTGCCCTTTACTGTGAGTGGGTCTGAAGGTAGAGTGGGGCTTGCTTCTGGCTCCGTGTCCACTTTGCTCTCCTTGCTGCTGAAACCCAGCTGACACTGCTTACTCTGTACCTCGCCTGTTGGAGCAAGTATATGAAACAAGTTCATGAAACCCCCTCCAAGGAGTGGCAGCTGCCATGTCACAGGAGCCCTGGCCTTGGACCTCCTCCCTCTGGCCAGTTTCTCCCTCTCTCTAACTGCCCCATCTGCTGAGGGAGGGATGGTCTGAATACCTCGCTCACAGCCTTTGTCTGACTGGGGCTGTGGTTGGTATTGTGCAGTGTCAGTGAGCTCAGTGTGCCTCGGATCCTGGTGGCTGGGGGCATCGCAGGGATCTTCAACTGGGCTGTGGCAATCCCCCCGGACGTGCTCAAGTCCCGCTTCCAGACTGGTTAGTGGAGGGTAGTGGGGTAGATGTGGGTGGAGTGGGTACCAGAACTGGCTGCCCGTGGGATGCAGAGCTCTTAGGGCCCTAGAGATACTCACTATCCACAGCAGCACCCAGCATCTGTCTGACCATTTTCCCTTGCAGTCATTTGTGTTCTAGGAACCCTAGACTCATTCATTTCCTGTTGGCCAAAACACAAAATAAGTGAGATAAGCAGTCAAATCAACTCTGCTGCCTTCTCATGAGCAGAAGGACTATTATATTCTTCATTCTTCCTCTCCACTCCCTCAGCATCAGTAATCCAGACATTGTGTCTGTTTGTCCCAAGGTGGTGAACTGTGTTGTCTGGGAACTGGTCCCAGATGACCTGGAGGGTGTCCTCTTCCTGATGCAGTGACCCTGCAGGAAGACTTGACTATAAAATTGTCTCCATGTGGGACACCATAGGCAGGTCAGGAAGCTTCCTAAAGCCTTAACAGTTGGATTCCACCCGCAGCACCTCCTGGAAAATATCCTAATGGTTTCAGAGATGTACTGAGAGAGCTGATCCAGAATGAAGGAGTCACATCCTTGTATAAGGGGTTCAATGCGGTGATGATCCGAGCCTTTCCAGCCAATGCGGTGAGTGGAAGACAGGGACTAGGCTTTCCCTTCAGGGCTTAGAGCAGGTTCCAAGGTCTAGGTGGGCTGACTTTTGCTTGTTCCTAGGATTGGATTGGGGGTTCAGTTTTCCCCAAATCCCACCCTTGGCCAGAGCCTCCTTATTTGCTTCTTTTCCTGAAGCTTCAGGAGGGGATATCTTTGGGATTCTTTGAGGGGAGGGGCTTTTTTTTTTTTAAGATTTTATTTATTCATTTGAGAGAGAGCGAGAAAGAGCACAAGTAGGGGGAGAGGCAGAGGGAGAGGGAGAAGCAGACGCATTGCTGAGCTGGGAGCCCTATGTGGGGCTCAATCCCAGGATTTGGAGATCACAACCTGAGCCCAAGGCAGACGCTCAACCATCTGAGCCACCCAGGCGCCCCATGAGAGGTGGGGCTTTGATCTCCTGACTAGGTCATCAGAAATGGATAGTTGTGAGACATGGATTTTCTTCCCCTCTCAGGAATACCAAAGCACAGCTTGATTCCCTGACCTGGGATGGGAATGAAGTTGGGGAGAGGTTCTGATGAAGTTAGGAAAGGGTTCTGGTCCTGACAGGGTCAGCCAAGCATGGTGCTGGGGTCCCTGTGATAGTCACAACTCCTGCTAGCTTTTTTCTTCCTTCTAACCCCTTCTCAGGCCTGTTTCCTTGGCTTTGAAGTTGCCATGAAGTTCCTTAATTGGGCCACCCCCAACTTGTGAGGCTGAAGGCTGCTCAAGGCTTCTGGATTGTGGAGGCTATCACGAAGGAGGAGCGGTGGGCAGGACTAGGCAGTCCTAAAAGGCAAAGGGAGGGGAATGGTGGGATCAGAGCTCTGTACATGGACTTGTTGAGACCATTGCCTTAATGACATCTACCTGGTATAACTTGGTGTGCCATTTTGAAACTTGAATTTACTCATGTCAATTTAAGGGATCTCAAGAGGATTTGGAGGTGGAGTAAGTAGCTTCTAGACCAGATACCACCTATGGTCAGAGAGCTATCTACTGGTTGACTACAGGCCCTACTACACCCAAAATACTACTCGAGAAAGGGAATTTCAGCTTCTCACTGGAGACATGATGCATGTTTTCAACCAGCTGAACAAGAGCTGGTGTTTTCTTCGATCCCTACCCACCAGATTTCCAGGGTATCACTTAATCCTGGCCTGCACATGGGGATGTGGACTTCAGGTCCACATCTCTCTGTCCGGGTGGACTGAGCAAATGTGCCTAGGGACAGGTAGCCTGTTAACAGTCAGGTTGATTTTTCTTTTTAAATGCATACAAGCAATCAAAACTAAAACTACAGTAGCCTAATTTCCCAGGAGTAGATGGAGAGCTTTCCCTCCTACACAGCAAGAAGGGTTTTGAATTAACAGTCCTAGCCTGCTGAGATAAGTGACAAAGCCTGGGGTGTAGGAAAGCCTCTTTTCACACACTCTTTTCTCATGAGAGTGCCCTATTTTAACAGGAAACAATAAATATTGTTTCTAATTTTTGCATTGTGTGAAATTATTTTGATTCTGGGTCATTTCAGCAGGCAGCCTGTGGCCTTGGTGGAGGCTGTCCGGGATCTGGTATCCTTCTTTGGTGGCTTCAGGCAGGGGCTTCAGCAGGAGAAAGAGGAGGAAGTTTTGGCTAGTCCAGCCTTCCCTGACTGTCCTAGAAGCAACTGCCTGATGGGGAAGGGAAATGGGGTGGCGTGGGGGGGCTTGATTGCTAACTGTTCCCATAGTCCTCAGTATAAGCCTGCACCCTTCCCTTCATTCTTTCACCTCTCTGCCCTGAGCTAACAGAGATGATTGTTCTAAAAGCCAAAAGCAATCCTGACTTATCATATGAGTTTGGGGGTCACTGTGATCTGATGTCACCAGCCAGGCTTTGCTAATTAGGCTATTCATGATGCCCAGGTACATCCAGAGGAGGTGAGGGAGACAAGTTAATTTGTCCTTGTCTGGTGGCTGGAGCTGGGCTTCTCTGGCATTGTCCCATCTGGCAGTCACAGAGTTCTGCTGGTACGTCCCACCTTGCTGCAACTGCACAGAGACCCTTGGACTTTGGCTTTAGCGCCATCACTCTGCATAAGGGGGTGAAGGGACAGGGACCCACCCCCATCTGGGAGTGGGCGTGGCCAGCCCGGCAGGAAGCTGAACATTTGGGGGTTTAAGGAAGAATACTTTATTCCTGGGAAGATATTTTTGGATGACCAGAAAGGAATTATAGTCAAGTAAAAACAAAAAACATTGTTTAGAGATGAAAATTGTGTGCCCTCTGCCTAGGAAGATTAATTCAGTGTTTTGCCTGCCCCCTCATGCTGCAGGATGTCTTTATTTAATCTCTCACTGGTTTGGAGAAGGCCACATATGTGTTTCAAAGCTCTTCTTGGCAGCACCCTGTCCTTGAGATAATCCTGCAACCTCAGCCTTTGCCTGGAAGCCCCTGTGAGTGCATTTGCATTCCAGCCAAATGACAGCCATTCCCATGGCTCAGGATCACTTTTACAGTCTGTGCTTCTGGATAATTTGCCCTTTGAAACAACTTCCATTTTAAAATGGAAAGTTTTGGTTCCTTGTTGTTAGTGGTGGTAGACTGTTCTACTCCTTTGGTTGTTCAATAGGTGTTAAGTCAAATAGGGAAGCCCCAGGAGACATTATTTGTGAAGAGAGCAGAGCAGATGGTGAGTAACTCCCTCCTGGCTGGCACTTCCTTTTTATGATGCACTTTGAAATGCCACCTGTTCCTGATATATCTCTTCTGTCCCTGATGGGGGTAAGGGTGGGGGAAAGACTGGGGCCCTCCTCAGCAATTTCTCTGTCACAGACATCATTAAGCCAGACAGCAGGTGTTAAAACAACCAGCCAGTGATAACAGCCTCACCCAGGCACAAAGAAGAGTATAACTGGGTCAAAGGTGAGGGGCAGACAGTGGGATGTTGCAACAAGCCTATTAGAAGCAACAGTAGTGCCATTTCTGCTGTAAGGTCATACCATCTCCACCCACAGTTCTTTCCCTACAGTTCTTTTGAGGCTGGAACCCCCTATGCCCTTTCTAACCTTCCCATGGGTTCATTCTTATTTCTTTATCCCCATGTCACTCAATGTTTAGTGGGTAGGGATTTGTACCCCCACTTTCAGATGTGGAAGCCAAGGCTCAGACAGGGTAAGCTGATCTGCCAAGATCATTGGCAGATTGATAATAGAGTGCAGGTAATAGAGTGATGTCTGGGTGTCCACAGGCCTGAAGAAAGGCTTGTGATGCTATCAGAGGCTGTCCTGGGGCTGCTTGACCCAAGCTCCAGGAGGCCTGTCTGTACTACAGGGTCAAAGCCCGGCCACTGGCCTGTCAGTCAGGCCACAGGTAGCGCAGTCCTAATAGGCACTGGGAAAGCCCCAGGGCCAGGCATTCCCTGAGGGCTCTCTTTTCTGCTTTCTCTGCTCTGGTGAGCATATAGGCCTGTGGTTCTCCAGCCAGGCTCTCCCTTGCTTCCCAGGTTCTGTCCTTGCCTTGAGGATCTCCGAGGCAGACCCAAGGTCCGCTGCAGAAACTGACACTTTCTTGGGATACAGTGTCCTGGGGAGGGGATGGCTCGCAGGTGCAGAAACAGGTGGCCTGGGAATTAACTGCTCCCTGGGGCATGGATGCTTGTTAAAATAGAGCAGACTTCCCGGACCAAAGGCAGTAGCCACATGAGGGAGGCATTATAGAGGCTGAAGGACAGCTTGGGTGATGACAGAGAAAACATAGCCCACTTCCCCAAGCCTTGCTGTCCAAGAGGCTCATAAACACTTCTAAGGCAAAACAGAACTGAGGGGGGTAGATAACTAAATGAGCTGGAAGACTGGACCAGAGGGGCTGAGATGCAGGGGTGGCCAGATGACCAACAGGTTCCAGGAGACAGGTAGGGGACTGGAGTGGCTCAGAGATCCCCTTGGGCAGAGAAGAGGGAGGTGTTGGTGCTTGGGCTGAGTCCACTCCCCCACCCCCAGTAGGCAGAGGGTATCACAGGGCAGAAGGCGTATAAAATGGGAGGTCTGGGCCAAGAGCAGGCTTCCAGAGGAGTCTGGGGAGTTCGGGTGTTTTCCTTCTTCCTGGAAAGAGAAAAAAAAACCCTTTAAAATAATAAGCCTATCGAGAGTACATGAAATCCACTGTTTTTTTGGAAATAGTAGTTGGTATTCTACCCATGTTCATTTTCACCAGACCCACTGCTGTTGGGCTAAACATGTGCCCCACCTGTGTTACTGTGATCCATAGTTGTAAACATCTCTGAGAATTGGCCCCATTGTGTTCACGTCTGCCCGTGGTTGGTGGTGTGGCAGTCTGTGTAAGATTTGACTGCCTGCTGGGTAGTGACTCCTAGGACTGGCGCTTGGAGCTGAGCACCTGTCAGTGCTCTGGGGCCTCCTCTTCTCTACTACAGTCTCTGTTTTTGCCTTTTTCCCCACCATCACTTACTGTTGGCAGCTGTTTCCCAGTTACCTGCTGCCTGTGGGTTTGGTTGCCACGGTAACCTCTAGTGGTAGAGCTGGACAGGCTTGAATGAAGGCACCTCCTAGGAGGGTAAGGGTAGAAGATGAGGGATTCAGGGCCCTGGTATTCTCTCTTGCTCTAAGGCACTCTTCTTTGGCCAGCTCAACTGGGCATTCATGGACGGCCCTTGGGACTCCATTTGCGACAGAAGGGCTTCCCAGAAGGGGCAGAGATGGATCCCTGCTCTTGGACCAGGTGCTAGGGATGGGGAGCCACGTAGGGCCTGGAGGCTGGCTGTCCGTCCTTACTCTCATGGTGGTCTGTGGAGACAGGTAAGGAACAGCTATGGGGTTCCTGCTTTCTGTGGCCCTCATTCCCTCCAGGTCCAAAGATGCTCTTTGAATGTCGTGTTTGCTGGATGGATGGATGGATGGCCAAGCCTTGGGGCAATTGACAGCAAACCAGTCTACTCCTGGCAGAGGCTGATGGAGGTTTCTTGGAGTGACTGGGAGAACCTGCCCCCACCCAGCTCTGTCATCAGCCCTAGAGTAGCCTTCCTCTATCTTATTTTGTAATTGAGGTGAGAGTCCTAACCATACGGGCGCCTGTCCCTCTTTAAAACATATAAAACCTGAAGAATGAGCAAGCAAGGGAGTGGAGTTGTGAATTTGCCCTTCTAAAGGATTGGTTGTAGGATTGTTTGAAGCAGGCAGATCCCCAGGTGTGGTGGATGCAGTGGGAGTGACACCCAGGTTTTCTGGGTATGGTCTGATTCCTGGAAAACTTGGAAGGGTTGGTCTACTCAAGAGCAGATGAACCCTGTCCCATTAGCTTCTTACTGCCCATCCTTAGTGAAGTGTTCATAGGCTGAGATCAGAAACACTTTAAAGAAAAGGATCCTGAGACAGGGGTCGGGAGAGCAGTTTCACTGACTCCACTTGCTACATGGAAGCATTCATTCATTCATTAATTCATTCAGTAAACCTTCTCCAACAGTATGTAGCAAGGAACTGACAGGAAACAAATTGAACACTATCCCTGCTCTCACAAAGTAAATTGTGCAAGACTCCCCTGGGGGGGTCAAGGAACTTGTCCAGGGAGACATTGGTGTTTGGAATCACAGGCTCGCCTGGCCTAGAGCGTGGATGGCTTCTGTACCAGCGGGGATCGGTTGCTCCTGTTTCCAGAAACTCAGTTTCCAGCAGCACTGAACTCCTGGGTGTGTGCCAAGCCAATATGAGAGGTGTTAGTGCTTATTTTAATTAATACTGGGTAATTACCAGGTGGAGCTTAACCATCCCAAATGCCTTGGAGGTTCCCAAGCCTAAAGGTCATCACTTTCTGTGTGGGCCCAGCAAGGAGAGGCAGGATTCTGTCCTATGCCCACTGGGACTTTCTTCAGCACTGTGACCCAGGACAATCACCTTTTTCTATTCCCTTCGATCTGGTGTGGGGGAAGGGGGCAACTTGAGAAATAGCCTAGCCTCTCCAGTTCACCTATGCTCCCTCCCTAGGGGCAAAGGTAACAGTGCCTTGTGGTCTGCTCAACACCACCAAACGGTGTGGGCCCAGGGTGGAGTGTGGGAGAAGAGGCCTGCAGAATCCTGGTGGGAGTGCTCAAGAGGAGGAAGAGACCCAGAGGTAGTTCCTGCTCTGCGCCTTATTCCAGTTTCTCAGGGTACATGTTTGGCCTAGTGACTCTTCCAGGCTTATTTCTCTGCCTGTGGCTCCCAAATTACTATATCACTGAAACTCCTACCATCTACCACGCCTTTCCCGTTTGACATATCACAGACCTCCTGCCAGACTTCTGAAGGTCCTATCGTCATGCCACCATTCCACCCCGGGACCAGGGTGGTCCTGACTTTTTACCAGCCCTTTGCTCTTGCTGTCCTCTATGTTCAGATAGCTTTCCTCAAGATTTTCCTGTAGTCGGATCCTGTCCAGGCCTCGGAGTCAGCCTGAATGTCACCCCCTAAAGTGGGCCCCCTTGCTCTCCACGACGGCCGGAACCACACTGAGGTTGTAATGTGTGTGCCAGGCGTCTGGCTATCTGGCTCTAGGCTGTGTCCCTGGAGCCTACCAAGTGCTGGCAAACAGGAGGCTCTTAGTGAATGTTGAAACAATATGTGAAAGGTCTTCAGGACTAGGTGGGAAGCACTGGCGACTCCCTTAGGCCGGCAGATCTCTCATTCCCGCGACTCGACGCGGGACTGCCCGGGACCGGCGGGCTGCCCGGGACCGGCGGGCTGCCCAGAGGCGCACGCGCACTGGGGGCCGGCGGTCGGCGGGGGCGCGCACGCCCGCGGCCGCGTGCGTCACAACCCGGGCTCCTGCCCCGCCCGTCCCGCCTGCCCGCTCGTCGGTCCCCGCGGCGGCGGCGGCGGCGGCTGCCCAGTGACAGCGGAGGCGGCAGCAGGCCGGCCGTAGTAGCTTAGGGTCGTCCGGCCTGGAAACGCACACCCGGCCGAAGGGCGGCGCCGCGCGAGGAAGGCCAGAGCCGGGGCGCGCGGGAGGAGACCTCGCGGGCGCCGGACGAGAGGCCGGCGTGAGGGGGCGCGGAGGTAGTGGCCGCCGGCGGCCCGGACCCGCCTGTCCCCGCGGCCGCCGCCGGCATGAGCCACATCCAGATCCCGCCGGGGCTCACGGAGCTGCTGCAGGGCTACACGGTGGAGGTGCTGCGGCAGAAGCCGCCCGACCTCGTCGACTTCGCGGTGGACTACTTCACCCGCCTGCGCGAGGCCCGCTCGCAACCCGCCAGCCCGCCCGCCGCCCCTCCTTCCGGCTCCCAGGGTCTGGAGCCCTGCCCTGGCCTGGTCGCCGACGCGAAGGCGGACACCGAGTCGGAGGACGACGAGGACCTGGATGGTAGGCGGCGGGCTGGGCCGACGTTCGCGGTGGGGGGACGGAGGTGGCGGTACAGGGGTCTCCAGCGGCGGTCTAGAGGGGTTGCGGGGCCGACCACACTGGGCCGGGACCTTGGAGCTCTCGAGCGGAGTTTGTCGGGGTTCCCGAGCCGCGGGCGTGAGCCCCGCGTGCGCCACTTCCCGGCTGAGCTCGGCGGTCCTCCGAGCCCTGGAGCGCACCGAGTGAGTTGTCACATTCAGCCTGGGAGAAAACGTGCGCGCCTTCGGCCCGCGTGGTGGCGCGGAGCCCACGTCGGCCTCGCCTCCGCTGGGGGACCCTTCGCCCGGTTTGGTTCCGAAGACAAGGAGGCTCACATCCACCGACTCGTCTTTAATAACCAGGACGGTAACTCTGTTTGGAAATCATTCGTTTTGTGAAAAGTTATGGTGAGAACTTTAAGCATAGGCAAAAGTAGAGAGAGAAGAGGTGAAATGAAGCCCTATATGTCATCATCTACATTCAACAGTTTAAATATCTGTCACAAATGTTTCATCTCTACTTTTTTTTCTTTGCTCAAGTATTTTAAAGCAGATCCCAGTCAGGTCATTTCACCTCTGCATAACTGGACGTGGATTTCTTAAAATATTCTTAGTATTTCTTGAAATTTCTTAAAATATTTCTTGAAATATATGTAATATATATTTCGACTTCGCTAAAACGATTGGATCAAACGATTGGTGAGGATAAACAGTTACTATCTTGTTTAGCATATAGGGTGCAGGAAAAAAAGACAAGGAACGCTTTCTATATCTGATTTAGGCAAGGTTGTCAAAAAACTCCATTTTCCTTGGTTGCTTCAACATAGGCTTTGTCAGTTTAGCAATAGAATTATCCTACTTTGAGCCGCCAAAATTTAACAAAACAATGAAAACAGAGATAAAGTTAGAGACTTAGTGTTATTAGAGCATATGGGGGGGGAGAATAGTTCTGAGTCGAATCCACATTCAGGTCCCTTAGCAAAGAGTTAATTATCCGTCATTGCTGTTGGAGGTTGTAAGCTTCAGGTTGTGGACAACTTCCCATAGTTTATTCACCGCGAAGAGTATAAATGGCTCTGTTTTCCTTTGACTTTTTGCCCATTAAATTATGAGATTTTCACCTTAAGCCTAGAAATCAAATTGTTATTTTCCAAATCTCTTCCACGGATTTGTTTTGTGGTCTAAGACAAGTGGTTAAACCTGTTTGATTTCAGATTCACTTATCTTTAAAATGGGGACAGTGACAATGATCTCCCAGGGATAAAGGTATCTCTAAAAGTTTTATTTTTTAGGAGTGACTCCTACATTTCACTGTCATATCTATAAATCACAAAGCTGTAACCTGCTTTGTGAAATTTTTATGTACACATATTAGTATTTTAGAAATGAGTTTCAGATGAGTAAGATGGAATTTACAGGTTTTGTGTTATGTCTACCGTCTTTGTCATCTTTGATATCTCTTTCAAAATTGAGTTGATTTTGATGAGTTGATGAGTTCAAAATTAAATCTTTGTAACCCTGTGCTTTATTTAATTGGCATGTAAATATTTGTTGTTTATATCTCTAATGTGGCTGTGCTACGTGTAATTATAGAAATCAACACAAGGTGAACTTCTGTTAACAGATAATAGACTAAAAATACATTGTACACAATGAGGTACCACTTCACACCCATGAGAATGGCTATTACGAAAAAAATTGCAAGTGTTGGTGAGAATGTAGACAATTGGGAGCTCTTGTTCATTGCTGTTGGGAATGTAAATGGTCTGGCTGCTGTGGAAAAACAGTTTGGTGGGTCCTCAAAAAATTAAACAAAGAATTACCTTAATGATCGAGCACTTTCACTGCTATGTATATATCCCAAAGAATTGGGGAGTCATATATAACTAGTTACATGCCAGTGTTTATTGCAGCATTATTTACAATAGCCAAAGGGTAGAAACAACTCATGTGCCATCAGCAGATGAATGGATAAATAAATTGTGGTATATACATACTATGAAATACTATTCATCCTTTAAAAGGAATGAAATTCTAATACATGCTACAACATGGATGAACCATGAACACATTATGCTAGTGCGGTATGCTAGACACCAAAAGACAAATGTATGTACCTCACTTATATGAGGTACCTAGAATAGGTAAATTTCACAGAGACAGAAAGTAGGATAGAGGTTAGCTGGAGCTGGTAATAGGGTGTTATTGTTTAATGGGTGTGGAGTTTCTGTTTGGGATGATGAAAAAGTTCTGAAATTGGATAGGGGTGATGGTTGCACAACACTGTGGATGTACTTAATACCATGAGTTGTACACTTAAATGGTTAAAATGGTAAGTTTTGGGGCCCCTGGGTGGCTCAGTTGGTTAAACGACTGCCTTCGGCTCTGGTCATGATCCTGGAGTCCCGGGGTCAAGTCCCACGTTGGGCTCCCTGTTCAGTGGGGAGTCTGCTTCTCCCTCTGACCCTCTCCCCTCTTATGCTGTCTCTCACTCTCTCTCTCTCAAATAAATAAATAAAATCTTAAAATGGTAAGTTTTATGTATATTTTATCACAATTTTTAAAAAGACAAGAAAAGAAATACGTTACATATCCAGTGATTAGGAACATTAGGGTAATAAGCCCACAATACCTAAAATAAGAACTAGGATATATAGAGTTGGATCTGTATATAGCAAGGGAGATTTTGTTTAGTATGACTCATCACCAGTTCAGTTTATAAGATTGTATGCTATTTGAAACTCTCAAAAAAGTTATTAGCTGTTATTGGTTGTTTTAACAACAGTGTTTCAATGTCACACGGCACACCAAGTATGAAGTATTGTAATGCGTATTTAACTCTTGGGAAAACCTGAAGACTTCAGATTTATTAATAAGTTACTGTAACTATCCTCACGAGAACAATAAATTGGCATCCAGACTTGATTCACTTCTGTACTTACCATAAAACATTTATATCATATAGCATATTTATATGTATATGTATGTATATGGAATACAATTCACATACTATATAATTCACCCATTTAAAGTGTTTAATTCAGTGGTTTCCCCCCAGTGGTTTTATTAAAATCACAGATATGTGCAACCATCACCACAACCAATTTTAGAATAATCAATTTTCATCACCCCCAAAACAACCTCATACCCTAGCCATCAATGCCAACTCCCGCATTCCCCTCTAATGTGCTTTCTGTCTATAGATTTGCCTATTGTGGACATTTCACATAAATGGAATCATACAGTATATGGTCTTTTGCTCTTGGCTTTTGCTTAGCATCATGTTTCAAAGTTCATCAGTATTGTAGCATATATTAATATGTTACTCCTTTTTGTTGCTGAATACTATTCCATTGTATGGATATACCACATTTTGTTTATCCAGTCATCAGTTGATGGACATTTAGGTTGTTTTCACTTTTTAGCTATTATGAATAATGTTGCTTTGAATATTCATGTGTACAAGTTTTCATGTGGATGTATGTTTTCGTTTCTCTTTGGTATATATACGTAGGAGTATAATTGTTTGACCATGTGGTAACTCTTTGTTTAACCTTTTTTTTTTTTTTTAAAGATTTTATTTATTTATTTGACAGACAGAGACATAGCAAGAGAGGGAACACAAGCAGGGGGAATGGGAGAGGGAGAAGCAAGCTTCCCGTGGAGCAGGGAACCCAATGTGGGGCTTGATCCAGTACGCTGAGATCATGACCTGAGCCAAAGGCAGATGCTTAAAAACTGAGCCACCCAGGCGTCCCTATGTTTAACCTTTTGGGTAACTGCCAGATTGCTTTCCAAAAGTGGCTGCACCGTTTTACATTCTAACCAGCTGTGTATTAAGGGTTCTAGGGGCGCCTGGGTCATTCAGTTGGTTAAACGCCTGACTCTTTTTTTTTTTTTTTTTGAGCTTTTTTTAAAAAAAGACTTTTTATTTATTTATTTGACACAGAGAGAGAGATAGAGAGAGAGCACAAGCGGGGGGAGTGGCAGGCAGGCAGAGGGAGAGGGAGAAGCAGGCTCCCCGCTGAGCAGGGAGCCTGATGTGGGGCTTGATCCCAGGATGCTGGGATCATGACCTGAGCCGAAGGCAGCCTCTTAACTGACTGAGCCACCCAGGCGCCCCTAAACGCCTGACTCTTGATTTCAGCTCTTGATCTTGGGGTTGAGTTCAAGCTCTGTGTTGGGCTCAATGCTGGGTATGGAGCCTACTTAAAAAAACAAAAAACAAAACAAAACAAAAACCCAGAAACAAAAAAAAACAAAAACAAAAACAAAACCCCAAACCCCTCTCAATTCCGTTCCACTGATCTTTGTATCTGTGTGCCACTACTATACTGTCTTGATTACTACAGATTTGTAGTAATTTTGGAATCAACAAGTATGAGTTCTCCAACTTTGTTCTTTTTCAAAATTGTTTTGGCTTTTGGGGTTCCATGAATTCCCAAATGAATTTTAGGATTAGTTTGTCAATATGTGCAAGGAGGGCAACTGGGATTTTGATAGATTGCACTGAATTTGTAGATTAATTTGGAGAGTATTACCATCTTAACATTATTAAGTCATCTGGTCTATGAATATGGGATGTCTTTCCATTTGTTTAGATCTTCTTTAATTAAAGAAGATCTTCTAAATTAAAGAATAACACTTTTTTGTAGTTTTCAGATAGACATCTTTTGTTAAATTTATTCCTAAGTAATTAATTCCTTTTGATGCTATTGTAAATGGAATTGTTTTCTAACTTTCATTTTCAGATTGCTCATTGCAAGTGTATAGAAATAGTTAATTTTTTAAAATATTGATCTTGTATCTTGCAGCCTTGCTGAACTTATTATTCTAGTAGTTTTTTTAGTGGATTCCTTAGGAATTTTCCCCAGCAGTTTTTACTGTAGGGTGTATACCACATAACATAGGAGTTGGTCCAAACAGCATTAGGAGAATTTTTTTGGAATTGCTTAATAATAATATTCTTGTAGTTCACATAGC